TATCATACCTCGTCAAATTCCGCGATGGTGAACCTTGCCCGCTGTGTGGTGATGCTTTTCAGGTTTGCAACAAAGATGAGTCCATAGATGACTAATTCAACTTTGGTGCCCGTCCAGAAAACATTGAGGTCCACAAATAGAGCATCGAATGACGTTGACCTGGACCCACGCACATGTTTCGTTCGTTTCAGCTTCGTTAACCAAACCTCATACGTTTCGTGTAAATTTCGTATATGTTGAGGCCCTGCGGTCAGCGGGCACCATTCTGCGAGAAATCACCCAACACGATTCGGTCGTTGAAGATGGCGTCGTGTGAACATGTCTATGCGAGTGTGTCGCGACTGAAATGCTCCCATTATAAGGTAGTTAGTGCTCCGATTTTGTCAACCGCCTGTCTCATAGTGATACTTCGGTAACCTACCAAATCCTTCTGTCATCTGAGGATGTCAATAGCTCAGTGAGCATTGGGCGCCTAAAACGCGATACGCTTCCCGGCAGGATGTATGTATAAATAAAAATAAACAGTAAAATTCAACTCTTCGTGTCGTACTGTCTGGATCTCTGAATTTTCCCTGTAGAAATGGATGGGCGCTTGTCGGCCAGCTGATTAGGTATCGTGGAAATTAAGCCGCACATTAGTCGTGTGTGTCAGGTTGGCTGGTTAAGAAGCCAGCTACGATCGTCGACATGATCCCCCTGACGTGCCTTGCTCCGTAAAATGGAGGGCGCTGCTGCATCTTACCACGAAAATTGACGTACGTTGTCAGCATACCCAATCTCCTCTTTCTTCCAACTTTGCACGAGTTATCCGAATATCATAAATGTGTCTACCACGATGATGAATCGGGGTGGCAAGCTGAAACAGATATAAATAGCGAAGATTATCTACAGGAGTGTCATTCCCACATTTTTATATCCACGAGCACGGTGTAGATTGTTGAAATCTCATTGAATTATTTTAACTGCAGCACTACCTGCAGGTTTTATCAATTATAGGGGATTAATGCTTTGACGCCATTCATGATATTTCAGAACATGCAGCATCGTTTTCACATTCGGTAGTGCTTGATGATCCTGAGGAATTGCTCACTTGAACAGATCATTTACGCAGGTATTTTGCACAATTCATTAGAAAAAGGTACCCTTTGCTATGAAGTGTTAACCTGAAAAACTTCATAGCTTTGGAGGCTTCAATGCCATTTCGCGAATGCTGAGCAGCCACGTCGTTAGCTCCATCTAGTACGGCTTCGTCCCTTCTGTTTGCTCACACAACAGATCCGCGCTTATCGCCAGAAGATATAAAATTAACCTAAACCTAATGCACCGTGTCCCGGCGCCTCTATCTATCCTCGGGGGAGGACACAGTGTCAAAAACATTCGCGAAACACAGAGTTTCTATGAATTTTTTCTTAATACCAGTGCATCAACCCATTAACTTAACCAAACAGCCTCAACCAAGGCATTTATGAAGCATGGAACACCAGTGCGATGATGGTATCTCCACTTTCAGTCCATCTTTGGGCGGTCATTTATGGTTTTTCCATCGTCCACATCCTTAACTACCTCACCAGTGCGACCGCACGTACTGCAATTGGTTAGTTAGCCCAACACCCAGAAAGCCGATAAATTATTGAGTTAATCCATCTCGTAGCCCAAGATACATTCATTGTGTCATCCCAACTACACGCACACTCTCTTCTATCCAAACTTAATATCCACTCCCTGTTTTTCCGCAGCAGCCAGCCCCCCTTGGTAATCTCTTCACAACGAAAGGCTCCAGAGCCAAGTCGTGTTCCAAGCAGGTCACTTGTGTGCATTATCCTGAGCCTACTTCCCCGTCACATTGAGCAAAATCGTTCCGTCTACCACCACTGGACGGTCTCAAGAGACTAACTGCTCATCACACTGAGGATGAAGAAGTCGGCCTCCAGGCAGGGCCCGCACTCTAGCTGGCGCCCTAATCGAGGCCGATGCTGTCAGCTTTTCCTTCACATTTCTGAACTCGTGACATGCATGGGGTTAATCATCTTGCGCGGTGGATCGGGTGCGTTCGGTAGAAATGATTGCTTTGGTTTATTGCATCAATTTCCGCAAACTTTTTAAACATTCGTACTGCAACGAAAGTTATTCCCCCTCACGTACATTTGGAGTTGAGATTACCAACCCCTCAGAAACGGTACATCTTCACAGAATAGATGTAAACCCCTACCTGTAATCACCTCAACCATCCCGGCGCCTCATCATTTTCTAATTTGAAACCGCCCTCATTTTCTAAGAAACAGACTATAATCACATGAGTTTGCACAGATTAAGCCTGAACCAGTGCCAAACTGGCAGAAATTTTACACTTCTTCAATAATATAACGATGAAAATGTTGATTTCCTCCCGAATCTACGATTATCAGTGGTTAATTTTCTCTCCTGTGCCAACTACTTCCGAGTAGCGTGCTTTACGCCCGTTTGTTATAACTCCACTTCGTCTCCTCGTGACTAGTCTCCACGGGTTTCGCTCCCTCTCAAGGTGCTAATTCCTTAGGTACCAATGCCAAGAGTTTGTTGCCTGTTCGTTACCGCCTTCGGGTTCGTATCAGCACAATCACTCCTCGAATGTCCATCCTGATGGCAAAACGGACCGGCCGAAAACTGAACTCAGGGCACCTCGGGTGGTACCCTAGCGTGTTATCCGCTGTACGAACTGGACACCTAAGGGGACCCTATTTTCTCGTAGAACCTTCACAGTGCATCTGTCAAATAGCCCTTGTTGAGATATGGTTCAACAGGAACCAAGCGCAAGCCGATTGGGCATATCACACGAGGTGTTGCATCGCGCCGTCAGCTAAAGACGGTACCCTACCCCTTGAAAGCGCTGACCGTTTTCCGAACCGTCATCTCTATATTTGGCCAATTTACACCAGCTGACTGCCCACGTCTGTGCGTTTAGATATCGTCCGGTATTACTTGTTATTGCCTTTAGAAAGCCCGGTGGCCTCGCCGAACATTTTTCCGCTTCAAACGACTGCCGTTGATTGTTATTATCATTGATAGTACCTTTTGCCTAATTCAAGGTGTTTTTAACCCGTCCGATAGATTTATTCGTCCCTTGAGATCCTTCTGCGCCTGGATCTTATGCTTACCACGTTTCGCACCTGCTTGAAGATTGCAAACCGCGAGGTCACTGCCACTGGTAACCAGTCCTACTTGACTCCCAGGCAGAGACTTCAGTGGTGCATGCGTTTACGCATATAGCAACGTCCCACATTCGAATGAGTATTTAACCCCTAGCGTTTTGTCAGAGTGGAAACATTTTGCTCTCACTGAGTTTTCAGTTCAGGGACGGGATCCAGGTTGGTCTTACTTACAGCCCAGCCCATCCGTTTTCATCCCTCCTATTTTTTATAACTCCTATCCCGAACCAATCCACTTAGTTCTTGAGGGAGATGAATTAAGAAATCACGAGAGATCCAACAGTTTACAGAGGACACTATGCAGGTCTATATTCAGTCCCAGTGTCCTTGTCACATCCACTTTTGCCAAGGCGTAACTACGAATAGCCTTTAACCAATTTGGTCCGCAGGGTGGAGGACATTCGTCAGCTCTTGCACAAGATCAACCCATTCTGCGCGTTGGGACCCGACGAGGTCCATCTAGGGATCCTGAAGGAAACGTCGTCTACAATGACAAATCATTTATACCCAGTGTTTCGTCAGCCGCCTGACGAAGGCCACCTTCCCTCTACTTGGAAAGAAGCGATTGTCACGCCAATCTGCAGAACTGGCAGCCGACTATCGCCTGCCAGCTACAGGCCTATAAGCCTCACTAGCATGCCGTGCAAGATGATGGAAAGCATTCTGAAGCGAGCTGTCCTAGATCACCTCACTTCCAGGAAAAACTGAACTCTCTAGCTTAAGACGGATTGCTCCCAACCCGCTCTTGCGTGACAAACATGCTCGTGTTTATGGACAGCATGACCCAAGCCAAGGATGAAGGACTCATATCGGATGCAATATTTTTCGGCTTCTCAAAAGCATTTGATAGGGTCCCACATGTCCCGCCGCTGCACAAACCCGAGTCCTAAGGGATTCAAGGGAATATCCTACAATGGATCAAGGCGTTCCTATTAGACAGATTACTCCGGGTGAAGGTAGATTCCACCTACTCTTCTCCAGCGCAGGTCTCCGTTGGAGTTCGTCAAGGCTCCGTTCTGGGACCGCTACTGTTTCTCATCTACGTCAACGATGTTTTGCAAGTCCATGTCTACCTTTTGCGGATGACTTGAAATCCTGGATTTCCAATGCTAGTGTCCTCCAAATGGATGCAGATGCTGCAAAGTAGTGGTAGTTGGACTGCTACCTTCCTCTTACTGACGAAAATTGCCTCCATATGTAATTTGGAGGAGACTCAGCGGAGGCCTTTGCCATGCATGATGAGAAAGGACCAGATTACATCAGGAAGATAGACGCCGGAGAGGGTTTAGGTATCTGGGTCTCCTCAAACTCGTCCTTCTCACTGCACCATGAGAAAGTGGCAATCGCCACTTTAAGGATGATCCGACGTACCTTCTCCCGTATTACTCGCATGGACTTCCAGACACTGTACAGGGCCTAAGTCAGACCGCTCTTTGAATACGCCAACAAAGTTGTCTACTCAGGATGCACGAACGACTACTCTCATTGAGTGTGTTCAGAGAGCCGTTACGGAAATGGTTGCCGGCTTCAAGTCCGTGAACCACAAGACGCGTCAAGCGATGCTTGACCTCTTTCCCCTGGAGTATCGTCGCCCCAGAGGGGACCAAATTCTTACTTAGGACCTGTTTGAACAACAGGTTTTTCACCGTTGACCCAGCCAACACACGGCGGGGACTGGTAAGAAGATTTTCAAGCTCAGAGCGCATTCAATCGGCAAAGTTTTCTCATTTCGGGCAGTAGCTGCGTGGAATGACCTTCCTCCGACGGTTGTCCACGCTTTTTCTAGAACCCGGTTCGAAGCACCATTAGACACTTATGCGAATCCTCACGGTGACAGGCTTACTGCCCCGCGCTGAGAACATAAAGAGCAGTGCTACACCCTTTTTTCACTTGTGCGTTTCAGGTGAACGACAGCCACTGACCGACAAGAAGAAAACCGACCCGGGAACTTTGGGCAAAAGCCTCGATCCTTTGTATCAATCCGTGCTCAAGAGTTCCATTCGAGGTCACCCTACCCATATCCGTCTGTTTACAAGCGTTTCATACATGCCTACAGCACCTTCACAGACGCGCTGACCAATCATTCAGGAGCGTCCTTTGAGTTTGTCGCTGGTTCCCCGAGGCGTGTAGTCTTCACGGATTAAAGGATTCGAGGATGGATACACGGACTCCAGGCTTTTGCCTAAGTTTTCTGGGTCGGTTTTGTTCTTTTTGTTCAGCGGTTGCCGTTTACCTGAAAGGCACGAATGAAAAAGGGGTGTAGCTTTGCTCTTTATGTTCTCAGCGCGGGGCAGTAAGCTTGTCAGCGCGAGGATACGCATAAATGAGTGTCTGATGGTGCTATTCTGATTGTCCCTTGTCACAGACTGGACCTTACCACGGTGTGACAGTTTGTGAAGCTCTAAACCCAGCGAGTTTTAGTGTGGAGTGTACGAGTGACACTTACCTAGCCTCGAGGCTAGGTAAGATCTTACACTAGAATGGTCAGTAGTTAGAGGTCTGGTTAACACGATCTGCTGGTTCTGATTTTGTGAGTTGGGACATATGACAACTTGTTCCTTAAGATGTAGACTGCTCTGGTGTTCTAACGGTTTGTTCGTCATCATCATCGACAGCATGCCACCAGTGTTCAACACTGATGCTTCACTGCCGTACAGCCGTGATTTATTTGCTAGCGTTATAATGAGGAAAAGAATGAAAGTGTACGGGGAGGGGACTTAGTGCTAGCTTACTACAATTGCTCCGAGGTGCTTACACCTACAGACACTCACTCGAGAAGTCTGGGTAGAAACTGACATTGACGTCGATTAGAAGCCATTTCTTGCAGCGTTTACACCGAGTCTAGTGTGAGAGCAAGAGCGGCTTGTTGCCTTTCTTGCGGACATTAAAAGCATTGAGAGCGTCCAGATAGACTGGGCGTCGAGGCCTGAAGGATGATTTCGAGAGGCCTGACGATGTCGTTGCCGGATGATGCGCAAATGCTGCTACGCTTTGGTTGAGGATCATAATCGTCCTTTTATGTAGGCATGGCACGTACAACTATGAATTACAAATAATCCCATACCTCAGATTTCTGGTGTCATTAGCCGGGCCGCCTTGCTGCATACAGCAGACCCGCAAGCGAAAACAGGCCACTGATAATGCCTCTTTTTCTTGTTCCGAGTATTCGTTCTCTTCGTCCTCAATGCGTTGCTGACACCAGCTTCATGACGTTAACCGCAACACCCACGACTACCTCTGCCACAACGGCTGTAGACACTTCGAAGTCATTCCTTGACTCCCGACGCTCAGCTCACTTGGTGTTCTTTAACGTCCATGCTCTGAAACAAACAGGACAACGGGCTGCTATGCAGATAGGTAGATTTAATGTTGCTGAAGCTAGTTGAGTGATCACGGTGGACTGAACTGAATAGGCAGGGACAACACGAACGCCTTTTGCAGTTACATACCGAGCATGTCGTTTCTGTGCAGCACTAGCCCCCTAAAAATGAGCCTTTTGGCAGCATGGTACGTTCCGCATACGGCCTGCCTCTAATACGAGCAGATCGCATCACCATTAGCCATTGAGTGTCGGTTATTCTGGAACACCTATATAGATCTTGATTACGCGCTTGTCGGTTGCTTCTTCTAGTTGCGCTTTCTGAAATGCGCCATATGCGCACACCCGGCAGTCAGACCCTAATGTGAATCAAACACACCAAAACCACCTACTGAATTCCCTTTCGGACAGCATATTTTTTACGTTGACTGTGTCTGGAAGCACTGTACGCAATCTTAGATGATGCCGGGCGCCCTCTATCTCGATCAGTCCTCCAAAATTGTTTGAAGCCCGGATATGTTTTCCTCCAGATGAAGTGTATAACAATGTCATATAGTATTAGGTGATCATGGAATTAGCTTGGATAGTTTTGTTGAGAGACCTACGCAGTTGCTTCATGTAAACTTCGGTACAATCCTTTTCGATGACTCGGGATGGCACGGTGTTTCTAAGGTCAGGTTCTGTAAGTGGAGACGACAGAGTACCTTATGAAGCTAGCTATGTAAGGCAACACTTACGGCGTTTCGGTCCTGCGCGCTTTCAAAGTCAAAAACAAAGGCAATCGTGGCACGTTCGGCCAATGCAGTCGACAAGTTCAACGACCCTTTTTAAGCACGAACTATATCAGTTACTATTGTACCATCTACGCTACAGGATATGGTAGGGAACTACAAGGCCTACCAGGGTTATGTTCCGAGGAAGTAGTTCAGTGAGTCTCCAAAATTACCTATGTGGAAGCATCACCCATCTGGAAATGCCCTTTTGTTCCACTTTCTGGAACTCCGTATGCAACTCTACTGCCGAAACACATCAGATAAACGGGTTGCGCGAAATTCGGCACCACTGACTTCCAGTGCTCGAAAGTCGAAGCCAGTGTCCTGCGAGAATCTTAGCTGCGCTGCGTACCGACCAAGTGAAAGCGAAAGAATAGTTAGTACGAAGTGTTAATGTGAACACAATGGATAGCCATGACACGGGCCTCAGCATGGCTTAAGGCAGATGACCTCACCTAACCACATATCCTTTCTAGACTTGGGCAACCTGGCAGTATCCCGGTCTTCGTGCCTCCTTTGCGTGGCATGGCAAATAGGCACCGAAAGGGCGTCACAGCAGGAGTTGAAATTATTAATGCTTGGAGGACGAAAGAAGAACCAGAATTACCCTAGACATTTACTGTTATTGATGTCTTTGGAAAGGTGTTTGATCTGAATGTGGGACTCACCAAGATAATCTTCGCTTTCTAGTCACGAACAGCTGTTATCCTACAAAGGCCTATCAGCACTCTCGAAAAGCAAACTCACGGAAATCAAGAGGGGTTTCGTTCCTGTCACGGATATATTGGCCACAAATTCACCTTACGAGAGCTTCTCGAACGCTTCCACACACAGAGGAAGCCGGGGCTTAGTCTTTTTAGGTCTAAGAACGCTCTCAAATTAGTCGTTCACACTGTTTTATGGTGATGACTTACTTTCAACCGTTTTCCAAACTCCACGGGGGAGTGGCGAAAATCTTCCCGAGTACTTTTGTAGGTTCATTGTTAAAAATGTTGCCCGTCAAGGCTCCGCCGCCACTTTCCCTCTTCAGCTCCGCAACTTACTTCTTGAAAGAACTTTGACTTGTGTGCTAAGTTTCAACCAGTTTGCTGTTACAATTTTAGTTGTTGACGATTAAATAACGGAATGAGATCAACAGCCGGTTCAAGGTGTCAGCACACAAAATATTCTGTGAAAACCGATACTGACCTACAAGCCTTTCGTGTCTCTTACCATTTTAGCTGCTTTGTCTGCTCTGACCGCCGTTCGAAGGTAGCTGGACCGCGGCTTATCTGTGGTTATACCGATTACTCACCAGTCATATATTCCATCCTCTGTCGTATCACCGCCGTCGCGACTGTTTGGAACGCTTTTTCGCCTGGAGGTCCCGTGAAATGGCAGATATAGACACAGGTGCCTACGATCAATTAGATTTTGAGGATGATGATGATGCCTTGGCTCATCATACAAAGGTTTGTAGCTTTTGTGCCTTCGTTCAACTGTACAGGATGCCCAGGAAACTCAAGCCGTCCCACGCAAACGTGTGGTGACTGGATCAAAGGAAAAATGGGATTCACTCAAAGACGTGCGTACTTCTGACTTTGAAGAAAGTATGGAAGATGATGGAGAGCTGAGAAGTGGGGATGAGAGTGATTTAAACGCCAGTCATAGCTCGGAAGAGGGCGAGGTCCTTTCGGAATTTGAAGAGGTTTGTTTGCGTGTTCTATTTTGCAATTTTTTGTCGTAAGGGTGACGTGAGTGATTTCTTCATAGCATATGGCTCGACTGAATGAACAAAACGCATTCTTAAAAACCCTTGCTTATTATGGTCGTAGCACCTCTATTAGTATAGGAAAATTTTCTACCGAAAAAAATTACTTTTGGGGAGCATTTATTTTTACAAACCACTTATCTTGGTTTCAACTGCTATGGTTTTACCTCTGAAAGTTTCGTTGCACAAGTACAGCTCGGGACCTGTCCGACAGCATCTCCAAATCTAACGCAGACTGAAGGTTAACACCGTTTGCCTTGTTTAGCTTTTTCATATTGACCTTAGCCGACCATAACTTTATATGCTGTGCACCTTTGGCGGAAGCCCTTGTGGGGTTGGTCCAAGTGGCATGTGTCTGTGTGTCACTGGGTGACTGGAACGATGAGAAGGCCCTGGAAGTGTGGGTAAAAGTTCATATGTGAAACGAACGCAGTGTCTGTTGTGCTTGCGTTTGTTGTTGTTCGAGATTTTGGGGTGACCGCAGGACTTCATTGACCGAAGCTATAACTTTCAACGTTATCGGTACTTATTATTCTATAGATGGAAGTTACGGTCGAACAATCTCCACCGAAAGAAGAAACTCCTTGGGAACGTGGGGTACGGCTGGCGCGTGAGGTAAGTCTGCGATAATCGTTGCCTGTTGTTGTTTTCTTGCTCTTAGTGTCGTAGTTTTTTTTTACTGCTCTCCATCGAGAACGCCCAAACGTGGCAGTGGTTAATTAGAAGTTCAGAGTATTTCCTGTTTCCAGTGAATAAGAGTTTAATTCCGTCTTCCCCCTTAACTTCGATGATATGATTTTGCACTTGCTATGTGTTTTGGGAACATTTTGGAAGGAATGAGTGTCAGACCGGAATGTTGGGCCGTAGTATAACCTTCCTCTGACTCAAATTTCACTGCATTTACTTAGGTTCTACCTAACATATTTCGAATCGAAGGCCACGTAAACTTCGCTAGGTCATGTTTATTGACTATTCTTGCGTTTGCAAGCTTCCGACACTTCTGTACAGTCGTGCCATCGGATAGACTGTTAAAGGTAGAGTATGCAATGCGTCCAACCTGTTTTCTGTGGATCAGAGACCTGACTACTGCGTGCGGAGCATCACCGGAGACTCTGTTTGGCCAGTAGTTCCTCAGAAGCGTTGCGCGGTTTTGGTGGAAACATCATATTAGTAATACTGAAGTTGGGGAAAGTTCAATTTCCCTCGATGGATCAGCTTGTCACACCACAGGTTACGCTGGTTAAGCCATGTACATCGTAGAGGACCGTTCGGCTCTCCAGTCGACAAGGCTGGAGACGATCCAGGGACAGGCAATCCATTACTTGGCAACGCGAAACTCGCACACCTCGCGTAGCCATTGAGGAACTAGTTTACCCAGAAGTCAAACGAAACTCTCAGAACCAGCTCCTCAAATGCATGCTAGATGGTAAGGTGTCGGGTATAAACGGCCACTGGGAAAACACATCCAAAGCACTACTCAAAGCCGGAATCTGTTTGCGACACAACCCAGCCAACCTCATTCCATAATTGGATTTCTGATAGGACCGTGTCTTTGCTGGAGACCCGGCGACAGATCCCCCCTGACCGCCACCACAACTCCAGCCGACGCCAGGTAAAACAGAGTGTACTTGCAGTTGGGGGACCCGAAAGACGGAAGAAATGAAAGATACAAGAAGTGCTGGAAATGTGCGCAAGTTGTTCCACTTAATTCGTTCATCTGGTGCTCGGAAACCCTGTCAGCGAAATAATCAGAGACAAGAATGGCTGTCTGATGTGCAGCAAAGCAGAACGTTTGAACCGCTGGACACAGTACTTCAAACAGCAATTCAGCTGGCCATCTGCTACCTCCAATCCAGAATCGTGGCTTTCAGCAGAAAGGTGGGCCGTAAATATGAAGCCGCCTTCAGTCTCAGAAGTGTCCGAATCTATTTCTCTACTGAAGCTCAATCGTGCTGCTAGTCCTGATGACCTTCCACTTGCTCTTTTCAAGGATGGCGGTGGACTCCTCAACCTGTGCCTGTCTAGCTTATTTCGGTCTAGCTGGGAGAAGGAGCACGTCCCAGACAGCCAGGGTGAATCGATTGTAGCGTCCATTTTCAAAAATGTTACTCGCAGTGAATGTAGTAACCACAGAGATGTCAGTTTGAAGCCTGTTGTGACAAGGCTTCTGTCGTCGCTGATTCTTCGTCGTCTAATGGTAGCACGTGAAGCTTTGACTAGTGAGAATCAAGCGGGATTTCGACCGGGTAGAGGCTGCGTTGACCACATCTTCACACTCCGTCAGGTGTTAGAGCAACGCCACATGTGCAGACGACTCACAATCTTGGTATTCTTTGAATTCAAGGATACCTCTGATTCTGTTGATCGATCAGTTCTGTTAACTACACTTGCTCAACGGGGTATGCCCCAGATACTTGTAAACATAATCCGATCCATATATTCACAGTTTCAGGCGGGTTAAAGTGTGTGGTGAGCTCTCCGAAAGCTTCCCTACAAAAATGGTATCATTGGCGAAATAATGAGGCGAAATTTGGAATGTCTTCAAAACCCCGGTGTTCAAATTGTTCCTGGCGAGAGCCTTGTCGATTTGGAGTACGCTGATGACATCGCCCTCGTCTTTGAAGACCAAAGCGAAGCACAAGCCTTGTTGAATAAACTGACCACCATCATAATATCTTTTGGCATGCGCCTTGCACATTCAAAGTCATTCTTCGGAACGTGCCATCTGTGAACATATCCCCCACAGTTCAAGAGGAATCACTGGAGATTGTGGAAAACTTTACATACCTCGATAGTTTTATTAGCTCTGACGGAAGTGTGTCTGATGAAGTCAGTGCAAGAATCTCAAAGACTTGAATCACCTTTGCTAATTTACTTCACTTGTGGCGTCGAAAAGGCCTCTCACTAGATCTTAAGGGTCGTGTGTACCAGGCTACATTGAGGGCCGTGTTGTTGTATGGGTGCGAGACATGGCCTCTGTGGACAGATGATGTGAGGCGTCTTCAGGTTTTTTTTTACCACCGATGCTTCAGAAGCGTGGCTGGTTTTGGATGGTGTCAGCGTGTTAGTAATGAGGTGATTAGAAAGCGGGTATTTGGCTATGTTGCAGGTACTTCAATCAAGGAAAACATCCGGCACAACCGACCACGATTGCTCGGTCATGTATTACGCATGCCGAAGCACCGAGACGATTGTTGTTCTGCGTGCCTCCAAACAGCGAGGTGGACAGCGCATGACTTGGCAGAAAGGCGTGAAAGTGATTGCTAAGAGTTTGGGTGTTGTTGGTGTTGTACGCCTTCCAGGGTGGGGTCCCCGTGACCCCACTTGTGCTTGGCTGGGGACGTTGCAAGACATGGTGGCCAATCGATGTCAGTGGCGTCCGTGCTGTCAGTTTCTTTCCAGATTATCTGTTTGAGTGCTTGGAGGTGTAGGCACCTCCGAATGCTTGCATATGTCAGCACTAGGTCCCCTCCCTCCCTCACGCACTTTTCTTTTCACTCTAAGGCTTCTAACTAGACGAACCTTTTGGTTGTATGGCAGTCAAATATGTGTCAACCTTGATGTTGCTGTCTTTGGTGACGATGGTGATGATAAATATCATTTAACCACAAATATTTCTTTGGTATGGATCTTCTTCCTCGCAACAAAATGTCACATTCATGGACTTGTGAGGGCCTTGTAATCGAGGGTCTGGTTGTCGACAGCTTTTTTAGCTTCTGGAAATCATTTGATCCCGCCTTTTAGGATACAATTGTAACCCCAGTTGTGCGTCTAGAAGCTGCATTTGTCATATAGTGTGTTTCGCGTTTTCAGCGTCTTCAAAAGGTGAAGATATTAAAGGCTACTGAAAAAGATCTTGCCGAAAAACGTATGACTTTGGAAGTCCCCACCTCCGCTGTGAATGAGGAATCGGATCAGGCTTCGAAGGAGGAAATACTGTAAGTGTCCAGATTGATGTTGTTACATCCTGATATCTTTGGTAAACTAGTTTGATCTTATTCAGATTAGGATGAAGAACATACTTTATGGAACAATGTCCGGGGGCCAGAATTTACAGACATGCTAAATGGGATATGGCACGGAAAATTGATAGGTTTACCTGTGGACGTATGTTGCTTTATTTTTTCCCCACTAAGCCTGTCCCCTTTGGGATGATAAGCCGAATCCGTCAAAGGGTTTTCATACGATTGATTTCGTTGTCCTGCATTATCAGTTCACATGGGCTTGTTGGATGTAGCGGGCAAACGCACATCTAGGTCGCGACTTTTTCCAATAGTCCATTTGTTCGTTTGTTCGCTAACGCTGGACGTCAAAGTCACACCATTGTGGAGCAAAGGGTGCGGCGCGTCATGTGTATCGTTCAGTTTACACGAACGAACATTGTACGTTCCGCGTTCCTCTGGTTCTTTTGTTGGTTGGTACATCTTGCCTGCACGCATGATTCATACTTTCGTATTCAAACTTTCGTTCGACCTTTCAGACAGGTTTGTTTCGACCATTGGATCAGTTGGACAAGAAGGGTCATTGAAAATTTAGTCTGCTCTGATAGCTGATACGACTTTCTTTAAGAATCAGTGGGAAGACTCGAAAGCGCTTGAATCCTTTTGTCCGTGACCCAACGGGTTTAGGCTTTGGTTAGTATGCTCGCAACACTCCCTCTCTTGCAACGGGTGAATAATTATGTATGCATGTACACAATGAACAGCGTACTAGCTGTCGCTTGTGGCGGCGTCTGGCAAAATGATCAAGAACTTTCAACCTGTAACACTTTCAGGACAGTTACCACGCAACCCGAAGGGAACAGAATAGTTGAGATATTGAGTGGTTATCGAGAATAAACTGAAAGACGGAGGTTTCTTTGAACCACTGACCTTTTTGGAAAGTTCGCGCCCCAGTTGACGCGCTACCTTCATGTGTGGAAAATTGGTAAGTGGAAAAGCTCAGAGGAGATGATCGCCTGGGTGAGATTTGTACTAAATTCCTTCTGGTAAACAGGATGACGGATTTCTTTCACATCGCGGACCTGCGACAATGTAGATGTGAAATAGAGGCGAAGCGAACCTTGTGTATTCATAATGCCGATGTTGGGACCCCGACACAGTTGAGCTCTCCTTAGCGGCGGACATTTTTCAGAGAATGAGTTTAGGTTAATCCCTCGTTTGTCGTTACTTTTGTAAAAGTTATCTTGCGTATGTGTGCTGGAAGACAGGATGCGAGATACCCTAAAATGTAGACTCATTCATTTCACTCTAGAAGGGCTGTATTATAGCTGGTAATCCAGATATAAATTCGTTCAAGCTTTCGTTGTCAGGAGGGTAGGAATTCATTCCACACAGATAACAGAAATTGGACGTGATTGATGGAGATCCCCCGTTATAGGGTGCTACTCCATAGAGAGCTGTAAAACCAGAACTTTCGCACAGGGAATCACCTATGGATATATGGTCGGCGAAAGTGACTCTATTTGGATGTAACTGAATAACCAACCTTACACAAATTCACTACTCGATCAGCATTAAGTCCAGTCACGGGTTGTGATAAAGTCAGAGGTTTGAGGGACATGAGATTTATTGTAGTGGAGACTACCTTTCTTTAGTCAGTGCGTTTTATCATAATCAGCTATCATGCGGTTTTGAATAGCGAAACAGAATGCAGTATTTGTGGTTGGACCGATTTATAACGATGAATCCTACATTATTTTTACCGGTGATGCAACAGAAGCTGCCTGTAACTCGTTTTAATCGTTTGCGTAACAGCAACGCTGGCTGATGTTTTGGCTATCAGAAACAGATTTACGGTTGCAACTTCTCACTGGCGTTGCAGCGCATAAGTGAACGACTACTACATTTATTCGATTGCTGTATCAGCCTGTAACTCGTTTTAATCGTTTGCGTAACAGCAACGCTGGCTGATGTTTTGGCTATCAGAAACAGATTTACGGTTGCAACTTCTCACTGGCGTTGCAGCGCATAAGTGAACGACTACTACATTTATTCGATTGCTGTATCAGCCTGTCTTATACTTTTCTCATACTTTTTTTTAAAAACCTCAGCTGGCCTTGCTATTATCAGGTCGCGATCGTGGGGCGCACGGAGCTTACCGGTCTTCGTTTCCTGCCGGAAGACCTCCAGCCGCCAACAGCCACCGAAATAGCTGAATGGCGTTTGGGCCTATCTGATACTCGTCGGGGTCGTCAGCGTCACCGACGTAGATCACATACTGGCTCTTCTTCGGCATCGAGTTCGTCAGGAACGTCTTCGCGGTCCTCGTCAACCGACTCCATGTCGGTTGCCTCCTCTCTAGCTTCAGTTGCTGCTTCTTGGAAGGCCACATGTGCCCAAGCAATGAAAGACTACTTGAGTTCTCCTATCCGCAACAAGGACCGCCGTGCAGGAAGAGGTCACGGTGCTCGACATAGCCGCAGCTTATCATCCGAATCGAACAGTCAATCTTCGGATTCCCGTTCCGCTTCCGATCGATCAGAAGGTCGTGCGGGTCGTCGTGGTTACCGGGCTACTCATGGTGCTGCAGTTGGATCAGAGCTATCAGGGAGAGACAATAGACGATATTGGACGGAGGCTAAACATGCGTCTAGACCGTCACTTTCTGGTTCAGAACGCTCTTCAAAGTCTCGTTCTGGTTCTAACTCGTCCGGTGCTCCAAAACAAAATCGTCATCCGCGAGCTTGGAACTATGGTGAGTTTCATCGGTCACTATACTGTCCTTGTTACCTCGTACCTTCACGTCATCTTAGACTGTAAGGTTATTTGTAATCAAGGCTAACCTTCCGTATTTCTTTTATTTTGTATACTGTTAGGTAACCACCGTGCACAGGGAGACGAAGATTGGCAGGGATCACCTAATCACTCCGATTCACCGTCTTCTCCAGTTCGGTAAACGATTTTTTTGTGTAGCGGTAATTTTGTAGTTGCATGACAATGCACCCCTTTCTAACCTCAGATACGTTTGAATTGGAATCGGAGTGAATATTACTGGTAAGCATCCTGAGTTGCGTTGAGGCTTTCGCATCCTTCCCGTCCGGGATGCCGTACTTTATTGGTTCGTATTATTTTGAGGCACAATATCCACTGGAAAATCCTATCAGCAATAGATCATGTTAACCTGAATTGTCAAACAAAGGAAGTAGTTCTGCTGCTAGTTGTTTGACCGTACATGTCATCAGTAGTAACCGAACGCCAGAAGAACACGCATCCTGAGGTCACCCATTTTCACACCGTGGTATGTTTTCCCATCATTTCTGTACTAGAAAGCTAAACTTCAACAGGAGTTGCAGTTGTGAACAAGGGTTAACCGGAAGATTTAACTTATGCTCTTTCTGAATCGAGAAAGGGGTCCCCAGAAAAATAAAATATGAAGAGCCACCGAATGCTTGGGATTGTCCAAGAAAGTAAATCTGAAAGTTTGAATATGTCAAATCCGACAGTTAGGCGTTTTAGCTCGCTTTTCTAAAACACTGGAAGCAGACATTGAGCGGGTTAATCCCATTTACCGACAACCGAAAATATCAGCTTGCAGTAAAGTTGCTACCTAATCGTCACATCTGTGTGATTATGAGATAATAACCGTTGTATGAAGTTTACTTCAGACAAACTGCCACACTCACGGACCCTACGATAATCGGATAATTGCTTAATCTTTTGTGCTGAGGAGCAGCATCGTCAAACCTGAGTTGTTTGTAGGCGACAAGAGAAAGCCGAACCTCGCGAAACCCCTATGTTTGTGTCGTAGGGACTTGTGAATATCTTGTCACAACAAACGAATATTATTTGGCTACAAACTAAACTTATAATCTAGTAGTTTTCAAGGGTGTCCTTAAATATTCGAGTAGGGGGCACCGGAAGGTGCATTAGATGGTTATACGACAGGTCAAATCAAGTCAAAAAATCTCAAATCCCAGAATTACGTTCACCGATTGGCACCCTACTGTGGCATCAGAAATTTGTATCATTGGGTCTCAAAGGGTGCATTTATCAGGCCACTCGTCCTTCCTCTCTTCCAGCCTTTCTTTTGTCTACAGGGCTTTGTTTATGTAAAGTGAAGTTGTCGCACAGTAGTAGTACACCCTAGGTTGTTTCGAAAGTCAGCTAATTAGTCTTATTCTGAGGTCCTTGATCGACCTCTGGGTCTAACTGAAATGCGTGGTCAGGTGAGCAGAATATAACCAAGTACTGGCTCATAATGATTGTTACTTTTGAACAATCATCAGAATACAGTGTCTTAATGAGGGAACTGCTTGACCAGCAAGGCTATGAGGAATGCGGACAATGTGGGAAATTTGCGGAAATTTTTCTGCACACTTTGACCCAGGACAACCTGCTTCGGAGTTGGACATGATATTTTGCCTTATCAATAGATGAAAATGTCGGTAGCTCAGCTAGCGTGGATGGTGGTCTCTGGCTTGTTTGCTGAGTTGGGCAATTTGATTGCATTTCATTGTAATCACTTAGAGAGTGACAATAGAATAAATGGCGAGTTTCGATTGAGTTATGGAACACATCGTTTAACAAAATAAGAATGACATGCAAACAAGTGGGGTTTGAAACCTGAATCCGCAAAACTTAATTACAGTTGATCGAATGTTGTCAGCTAAAGAAAAGTGAGTGATATACGTTAAACTTCACGACAGTTTAAGGGTTTGAATACAGTGCTTTAACGCCGCATTTCCTACATCTCTTACAAGGGATCCAGAAACAGCTCAAAACCTGTGGACTAAAAATGACCCTGAAGAATGGCAAGTGCATGGGCAATGAGGAGCATTAACTCAATTTTCCAATTCTCATGGATATTTGAACACCGCAAAGCCTTCTTGCCTTAATGATCTTTTAGTCGATAGGTCACAAAGCAACCCAGTGCTTTGAGTGGACAGTCATAAAGGCCTTCTCATCCCCCTTAATATGTCGGTCTTTTAACCACAGAATGAGCCTATAACTATCGTTCTATCTGATTCTATAGATGTCGATCTGATGTACCGCCGCTTCCTCATGAAAGACCAGTGAAGCGCCCGTGGGTTGCCGCACCAAGTCTGGCGACCGGATTGGTGTCAACTAGAACGGGGAAAGGTAAGACATCCTATAACATTCGGCCCTTATGTTTGTTGCAATGACCAAGACAATTATTTTTCTACGGCGTGCTCCAATAGTTTTCATGTGTATCTTGCGAATGATTTTCCTCTCTCTGTCTAGGTGCACAATGTACATTTCCACTGCCCTCGTTTTAATCCCCCCTTGACAGGGGCTGAAGGGTTGTCATGTTTATATTGAGGTTTTTTAGTGCGTTCGTGCCGCAAACGACACCTACAAAGGCACAGTGAATTAAGCACACCCAGCCTTTATAACTAGCATATTAGAATCCGGTTTTCGTGGGTGTCGTATTTATCCGACCGCGTGACTGCTCTCCTATGGCCAGTTTATCACACTTTTTGACCCGAGGAATGACGCTAGAAAGGAAACTACTTATGAAATTGTTGGAAACTCTCAATCAACATATTACTCCCTAAGTGGCCCATAATCGGAATTTCCATTTCGTATTTTAGTACTGTATTCACTGTGTGTTGACGTGAAAATTCCGCTGCAAATCATGACAATGTTAAGGGGAGATTCAAATGAACTCCTATAATACTCCTCCATGCAATGTGCCGCCTCACGTTTCAGTTGGAACGATATTCAAGATAACTCAGTGTTTTCCTCTTGATGGTTGTACTTTTAAGGTTGGTGAAAACTCTTAGACAGTTCACTGCAGGTTCTGTTCTTTCCGAACTCCATTAGATGCCTAATCTCCTGCTTCACCCTCATGCCTGTCTTGTGCCATATTCAATGTATGTGGAGGCAAACACATTTCCAGAGTAAGCTGGTGTTAACAGGAGGCTCGGCCAAATATTATTGACGAGAGATTCATTTGAATCTTTCATGAGTCTTTATCTATATCTACGTCTAATTGGATGTTCATCTACGAAATAAAATGGGAAATAAACGGGGCCCAGGTCCACAGAACAAGTCTTAGGAAGATCGGAACTGGTAGTGAGCTGTTCGGGAGCTTTTGCCAACCTGCTTAATAGTGTTTTATCAGGAGAACTAGTTCGGTATCTTGAATACTGAAATACAAGGCGAACTTTGTACAGCAATTTCAACTGAAGGATATCGTAATTAATGAATTCACCTGATCATCTGATTCTGTAAGTTTTGTTTTTTTTTCTCCCACAAGCAGCGATACGGTTTCTGGCACGTAAGATAGCATTTTCATGAATAAGTATGGAAAACAGTGCACTTGAGCTGCATTGTTCACGTTGCCTGTCCATTTTACTCACCCGATCAGATGAGCTGCAGTACCGCTAAATTATTTCGTAATAAAGATAGCAGTGAATATTCCAGTGAAGGAATTGTGAAGGAATTGTTAATTGCTCTCAAATGGATTTTTTCGTCAGCTAGCTATCTGCTTGGAAGAGCGCATTTATTGTGCTTTTGTGTTTCTTTGTTGTTTCTTATGTACCTGCCTATCCTCGAATTTTCATGTGGGTAGTAAACACGCACCACCAGGATATTAGAGACTGATAGAGTTAAGCTGTTCAACAACGGAGTTCAACGGAGTACGGCGTCTCGTTCTCTCTCACCATTCATTTTGTGCAACATCTGAAGATTGTTCCATTCACTGAACTGTCGTTGCTTCCGTTTGCAGCCACCCGACGTCGCTCGGGCGATCAAACAGGATCAAGTTCCCGATCTGGTTCACGGTCGTCACAAGCGGGTGAGGAAAGACAGTTCATCACGTGAGTTGACTAATAAAATATTCATTCGCTGGTTGATCTCCCTTTACCTATCTGGGCTGCAATGTAGGTAGTGCTTTTCGCCTAGTATACTCTTTTGCACACCAATTTGGTTCTCACAGGATACTTAACTGAATCTTTTGTTCATAACAGGTGATTGCGCGCACTCCTTGGAGTATGCCAGTTATCCGAGGAATCCATCAGTTCTAGATGAATGGATATACCAGACTACATACTCACCAACAACAAACTGGGACGTGGTTTAGTAGTCGGGATGAGATAGCCCAACCAGTTAGATCTCTGGTGAATCACTACACAGTTATTAAGTTTAAGCCATGGGCCTGAGAACAAACAAAAAAATATTCTCGTATGAATGTGACTCAGCGCAGTGGATTGATTTGTCCATATCTGCACATAAATATTCACCCATAATAAACACGAAGTCTAGCGGTTGTTTTCTGTTGATTCAGCTGATCATTAGAGTAGCACTGATATCGATTATTTTGTCTAGGCTTTGTCAGGGCGGCCGTTCATCAGTCATCATGTCACTTTGGTAACTGACTCAAGATCGTATGTACATTTACTGTTATGCAAAACGGGAGACACCACTTTTCCTTTTCTGTCTTGATTTTCTTCGCTTCTGTTCAACTTAGAACTTTCAATTTTTCAAAGGTGGCTGTTCACTGGATTTGTCAGCAGTTTTGATTAGATACGCATTGAGCTCCTGAAATATGTTGCGTTAGTTTAGTGTGAAACACTGTTAAGCCCAATCCAAACTAGATGCAGAAAGTAACACATTCTTGGGTATGCAGCGTTCCCTAATATCATTCACCAAATGATGACATTTTTGAATAGTTTTCTAAATTATGTGGAAGTTTGTCCTCGATTCTTCACCTCATTGCACATATGATGCGATTCTTACTTTGTCACAATTTTTCGGGAAAGAAATCGAGTTCACCGAAGTGCATATTCACAGTTAAAAAAGCCTTTCTAATCCTCGAAGAATCAGGTGGAAACTACCTATTAGTAAGTGAGTGAGGATGGGCGATACAATTAAGCACAAGCTCATTGAGAGATAAAGTGAGACGTCCCTGTCTGCGTTGCGACATTTACCGGAATCGCGGCTAGCACCCAGCAGCCAGTCGTGCAGGAGCAGTACTACCCTGTTTCGCGTGTGGTTGCTTATTGCTTTTGCGTCACCTAGCGTGCAAAAACAGCTGCCTTCCTTGTGAGCCTTGGGACACTCAATTGTCTTGAACTGGTTTGCGCGTCAATTTTCTGTTGTAGAAGACAAACGCTCTTCGAGCATCTTAACAGAAGCTACTCAGTGTATTCATGACTCGACGGAGTTCCCCTTATTCTGTATCGTTTTTCTTCAGTTCATGGTCCAGAAGTCCCTCCTCTGGAACGGAGGGAAGACTGGCTAGGGAAGCTGTTCGTCGAGAGCGCTTGCCAGATGTTGTACCTGGAAGTCATGTTACCCGTTTACGTCGTGCAGGTAAGTATACTGAACTAATAACGACTACCGGAATTGCACATACAAGCATATCGTTCTTAGGACAGTTGATTTGATCAATGAGATGCCTGTTGGTCACATGACATGGCTGTTTTCACCTCATTATCAGTTTTTCATTTAGCTATATAAAAAGACCCCTCGTTCGCAAGAACTGAGCATGTCGATTCAATGTAGCCCGACTAATTGATTTGATGACGTATCGACATCGTTAGTTTGGGGTACTAACCGACACTTGATGGTCGAATGGTGCACATTGGTTAGTGCTATTGCCTTCATAGTCTCCCCTTGTTTACCTAGGTTCCCCGAGTGTCAGGCGGAGAAAGAGTCGAAGTCCGTTTGCCGAAGATAAAGCTGGAGCTGCTCAAGGGGATCCGGAGCGTCATGTTCCAGAAAGCGCAGCTTCCTACAATGAATTACCAGTTCCTCGTCGTGCACCACAGATCCAACAATATGAGGAAAACGTAGCTTACGCTGTTCAACATGCTGCCTCTACACAACATCAAAGACAAGAAGTTGAACACGATAACATGATCGAGACAAACAACCAACCACCACCTACTGTAGGCGAATTACCTTCGGCTTCAAGTCGCCCCGGTGTTAAAATTACACTGGCCCCACGACTCAAGGTGAGCTTGACTTTTTCCTGCTTCATCCTGTTACTCATTACTGTTCGCTTGCAACCCCACTCCGTAGTTGGGGGAAACACCAGTGGATTCGCTGAACCTTTTTGCTTTAGTAGTTCATCCATTTGTTTTCTTATGGTTGGGGTATTTCCTTATGACCCTCTGCAAAAACCTATTTTTTTCCTTTAGCTGGCCAATGTTTTTGACGGTTGGTTGACGTGTTCTTGTCGGATTAGTTATTTTCCGCTCTTATCCGCCTAGTCACCCGCATCGATGACGAGCTCTGAGTCGTTTTCATACCGAGTTCTTTGATCACATGACGCTGGGGCCAAAACATTGCCCACCATCCTCTGATGTTCGACCACACCAGCGATGGCAATGGCACCCGACCGTTATCCCGTTGGTTTCATCTTTTGTTAATTATGTGGACTTCAAAAACACTTTATATTGAGGATAGACATAGGCTACACTAGCCATCAGCAATCGTCCTTATCTTTGACGGTTGACATTTAACAGGTATGTAATTCTGAAAATGAGGTCAACCTACGCTGGACAGCCACCAAATACTGTACAGCTGTCTAATTCGTGTTGGAATAATCGACATTTTAAGTTTCTAGAGACTTTTCGATTAGCGGTTAATCTATTTGGCTAACTTCCCTGAAATTGAGTGCTTCCCAGTGCTTCCCCTATTTACCTTTCCCTCGTCAGTCGTCTGCCGTTGACATGACCAATTTAGCAGGTGGCGTCACTCGCCCCTCAGGAAGTCGGACAAACCAGCCATCACCTCCGCCGCGCTTACCCCGTTTGCCATTCCCTATACCGATCTCTAATCGGGGGAACTCTCCGAACTCCGCGGGCCCCACCGAAACTCCAACTGTAATTGATCAGGAGGAGATAAGAAGGCAAGCAGAAGCTGCTGCGGCGATTGTAGAGGCACGCGAACGTCGCCGCGCTGCTGCTGAGGCCGCTCGTCGCCGTCGAAACCCAAAAAAGAAACGCGACGATCTGTCAAAAATACCCATTCGTGGACGACCTACTTATAGACGGAGGTCTTTTACGGACTCATCATTAGAGTCTGGCAGTTCTAGGTCTTCCAGATCAACTTCACGCTCGACGTCGACACCTAGGTCGGTATCCCCCGCATCATCTCGCGCGGTTGAACAGCAGATTATCCAACAGAACACTGAATTCCCTTCTCAGCGACACCGTGGGTCTCGCAAGAAGCACAGAGCCGAAGTTCCTCCAGTGCCGGGCATCTATGGTGAGTCTGAAGAAATGGTGGTGCACCGTGTTCGTCATGCACCGCGTGGAATGCCAGGTGAATTTAAGCCCCCACGTGATGCGATCTCCGAGCGCCATCAACATCGCTCCAAGGCGAACCACGGGGGAGCTCAGCGCCATCGCGGTGAGCGCATCGTGGAATCCGAATTGCCCTACAAGTCAAACGCCGGTGTTCAGATGAAAGGCCTATACATGGACTACGATTTGGGCAATAATTTAGGTAAGTCCATTTGACTCAGTCACTCTTGGCACGCACCGGCCTTTTTTCAACGTTTGATCCCAAGCACTATCTGCTAGATGATTTTTGTGCTGAGTAATAGCAGTCAACAACACCGCGGGTTGTTCTTTGCTTGTGGATTTTGCGCGTTGAAACCGACACAAGTCAGACATCACGAGTGTCATTTGTGTTGCGACATTCAGGGGACTGTGCTGCGTTCAAATTAATATAATATTAATAGTAATATAAAACTCGTAGTCCGGGATAATTACTGGTTTAGTGTCAGAAGTTCTTCTTCGGCATACTGATTGATAATTTTCATCTGTAGGTCACATACTGAGCGTATATTAAAAAAAACACTTACATTTGTCTCTGTGCCAATGGTACTGAATAATGGAGATTTCAGAGGAGTCGCTTACCTGATATATCCGGAGCATGGCCATATCGGCATCGGACTGTTTGCAGAATTGGCACACGCTTTGCATGCTACTCCGGGTCGTACAATATACAAACATTGAGCAGTTTCATTTACCTCTAGGATAGCATCTAAGCTGTCTCTATAGGACGGTCCCCCTACGATCACCATAATATGCGTATATGTCACACCTGCAGTGAAGACTTAGATTCTCAGTGAGGCAGACATTTGCCACAGGTCATATGGAAGTTTGATGAGGATTGTTGGTCAGTCACCTGTCGTCCCATATAATTTTTCAGTATTTTGCCTGACGGTCTGTCGTACAATAGATTATGCTTCCGAATAATCGCGCCCCCATCCTCTTGTTTTGTTCGACAAAATGTGCTCGACTGCGGAGGTATTTTAGCTCGGTGATACACATCAGGATTTTCTCTTTACCTGCAAGAGGCTAATTCCTCCCTACAATTATGCTGGAAACAATCCCAGAAACGGTGAGGGCATGCTGTCCTTCGCTTACGTTCTTAGTTTTTATTAGCCGTATACGTACAGCCGCGTGAAGCTGCGATCGTCATCCTGTTTATGAGCCGGGAGAAGTGAACGTCATCATTATCAGAGGCAGCAACATCATCAGATGCTTCACTGCCGTACAACCATGACGTTCGTCTAATTATTTCTAGGGCTTTCAAGTGAAAAGAAGAGAAAAAAGTCGGATGAGGGAGGGGACCTAGTGCTGGCCTATGTCAAGCCTACACCTCCAAGCACTCAATCAGACAATCTAGAAAGAAACTGACAGCACGAACGTCACTAAGATCGATCAGCTGCCATGTTTTGCAACGTCTCCAGCCAAGCACAGGTGGGGTCACGGGGACCCCATCCTGGAAGGCATACAACAGCAGCAACACGCAAACTCTTCGTAATCTCTTTCACGCCTTTCTGCCAAGTCATGCGCTGTCCACCTCGCTGTTTGGAGGCACGCAGAACAACAATCGTCTCGGTGCTTCGGCATGCGTAATACATGACCGAGCAATCGTGGTCGGTTGTGCCGGATGTTTTCCTTGATTGAAGTACCTGCAACATAGCCAAATACCCGCTTTCTAATCACCTCATTACTAACACGCTGACACCATCCAAAACCAGCCACGCTTCTGAAGCATCGGTGGTAAAAAAACCTGAAGACGCCTCACATCATCTGTCCACAGAGGCCATGTCTCGCACCCATACAACAACACGGCCCTCAATGTAGCCTGGTGCACACGACCCTTAAGATCTAGTGAGAGGCCTTTTCGACGCCACAAGTGAAATAAATTAGCAAAGGTGATTCGAGCCTTTGAGATTCTTGCACTGACTTCCTCAGACACACTTCCGTCAGAGCTAATAAAACTATCGAGGTATGTAAAGTTTTCCACAATCTCCAGTGATTCTCCTTTAATTGCAAGGGATAAGTTCGCAGATGATACGTTCTGAAGCATGACTTTTCACTTTGAAGGTGCAAGGTGCATGCAAAATGATGGTATGATGGCGGTCAGTTTATTCAACAGGGCTTGTGCTTCGCTAAGGTCTTCAAAGATGAAGGCGATGTCNGACAAGGCTCTCGCCAGGAACAGTTTGAACACCGGAGTTTTTGAGGCCGTCCAGCGTTCGCCTCATTATTTCGTTAATGATGTAATTGAACAAGAATGGAGAGAGTGGACATCCTTCTCAGATACCAGTTTTTGCAGGGAAGCTTTTGGAGAGCTCACCGTACGCTTTTACCCGCCTGAAATTTTGTGATAATAAGAATTGGAGAAGGGGACTCAGTAAAATGACAGTCTGAGAGTGACCGTTTGGATATTTCAGGGAAAGCAGTTCGATGTGGGACATTGATGTTCACCCACTCTCAGAGTCTGAACATCGACAAAGAAGTCAATCTAAGGATTTGTAAACTTGCTCAATGGAATCAGAGCTTATATTTCCAGAGTACTTCGCAGCTATATTTCACGCCCTATGTGCGTTTTTCAGCTACATTTAAGTCAAAAGAACCGCACATCATGAGTGAAACAGTATCTTTTCCGGATAATTCCGAGGTGCGTCGTGTTTCTCACACAAGTCGGTCTTCATTGGCATATAGATGATCTTGGTGGCCACACCGTACAGAGAAGTACCTACTGATGTGAATCTGAGACGAAGACTGTATGACTCGGCAGTTCCGTGGTGCAACCTTGTCGTCAACACCCTTGATTTACATCAGCTATTGTAAAACTGTGGGTTTAATTCCTCGGCATCTCACCGAAAAACGACAGTTGCCGTGAGTAACACCTTACAGTTGATGGATTAGTTAGCGGACACCATTGTTCTCAGCTGGCGCTGCTGTCAATGATGTTGGTGATAGTGCGACATATGCTTTCCATCCATAGGGTAGTTCCCTTTCCGATGCAAAATTGTGCGCGGACCTCCGTTTGTAATATTTCTGAGATTAAGAAAACTAGCCCCATCAAACAATTAGTTGAACGTTTACATTCACATAACTCTTATTCGAACAATGCTTCCTGCAGCTCTAGTGAGTTAACACAGAGGAGATGATGCACTGGACTCAAGTTTCATTCTCATCAGGGGATATCGGTAGTGCATATCATTGGTCGTGCCGATATTTATACCTCAGACAATAAAAATCCTACAAATCTAACTACCAGTACTCAAAATTTGTCCAGCAAGTTTTCAGCCTCCGTGGGGCTGATTGGTACGTTCTGGTCGACGGGTCGTTCGATCAGTGCAACGAGGACAGATACTGGATTGTCCTTGGAGAACTTCGATAGACTGATCTTGATGCTCAAGCGTGAACTGGTGATCTGCTCGAGCACGATAATGCGAATGCTTTCAGGTTGCGTCGATGGGACTATGATACCATGTTTGTCTCGTGCTTAATCTCCCTGAGGTTCAACTCACAGCATGACAGAGGATGAAAACTTCTGATAAGCTCCAATAAGAGCCAAACTCTGACCCAGTTCTCTCTTCCTTTGACGCGAACTCACCAGAATAAGAACAGGAGGAGAACTGTTCAATCACGAGTGTTGTGGATGCAATGGTCATTGCATGTAGGGTCTGTAAATGTTGATAGGATTTGAAAGCTTTACTTTAGGTGATTTTGTATACCATCTACGCCCGAGTTAACCACACTGCTAATCAGCTACTTGCGGCTGAATAGTACTGACCAGAAGGATACGAGTACGAATGTCCTCAGATGGTTCCAAATAAGGATGAAGTGGCTATTCAGTGCTTTTCGGGTTTTCAGCATTAATTGACCCCACTCACTGGATGACATTTCAGTTGGTGCCGTTTTGTGGTCATGCATCATTCTTTATTGCGTGGGGTTAATGTGTTTAAGTAATGAGAACTACTATTGTCATGAAGAAGGCGGATAACGGATACTCGGTGATTATTTCGACCGCATTTCACTTGAATGATTTAGTCAACTTTCGAAGCAAACTAAGTTGTGGTGCTAACGCATTGGTCTATATCACATTGTTTGAGGCGCGAAACCCCTTTCGACTCACAGGGAAATCGACTATTTTCGCGGTGAAGTTAAACGCTGCAGTTAGTCATCGCAGTTCGATGGAAGATTACTGGATCCACTGGATCCGAAAGTTTATGGGCCAGCTATCTTGCATCCCGAATGGAGCACATGACTGATCGGTAGTTTTTCGGGACCACGCTTGACCATTACTCTAATGAATGAGGGTCTTTCTAATTTTACGTCCTCAGCCTAACGAACAGGGTATCTTCTTCCCCTTCTTCACGGAAGGCTTAACAAAAAGATTTATTGATTAGAGCTTCGCTTATATAGTTTCGAAAATGTTTGTGCATTTCGGTTTATCCTTTTTTTAGCATATCCACATGGGGTAACTCGTAATCGGGTTTCGAAATCAGGTATGATGAATGTTGCGCGCCAGAGAGACGCAAATGATGAATTCATCCAAACTTATCAAGACACATCACGTGGAATGGTCCGACGTTCCGGTGCAACCCTTCCTCAACCAATGGAGCGTATTACGAGGCCTCGAACACCTCATGCAGATATGGGATCTGAGGATTTCACTATACGTCCTACACACACCACTGGTTTATTGCGATTGGGCAAACACGAGAGGAAGCGCAACGAGGAGCGTGAGTTTGACGATGCACCGGTTCGCAAACGCGCAATGATTGCTGAGCCGGTGGTCGAGCCCGTGATCAACCCCGAACTTCGTCGAGCACGCAGCCGTCACCGCAGCCGTGGACCAGGTGGCCAAATTGATCGTTCCGAACCATTTGAATCGGATGCTGGAAGTTTTGCAGCGGAACAACGTCTCAGAGAGCTTCGTGAACGACTCAATTTCGTCGATGGGGCAATTGCCGAACTACGGGCTGGATCTAATGCAGGTTTTTCAGACCTGAGGCGTTAAAAATTAGAATCCACTCTTTTTCGACTTATAAGCTGTACAATCGTTTTGGGCAGATAAATTGTATCATATTCCGTTGCCTGATTTCCATAGTATCGGTCGTTGAGAGCATTAATCGATGTTGTACTGGTTGTTTATTCAAGTGAGCTACGACATTCGATTGATTTGATTCAGATGACGTACGAGCTGGATCTGCTTTGAGCCAAGTCTAGCCGCATACAGAATTCAAGGAAGCCGTCATTCTTTCAGTAGTAAGTTCTGGGACCAGCGGCGACAGTAGTGCGATTGTTCACCTACACCATGCAGACGACGGGACAATAGCAAACGTGCGGGTTAACTCAAGTTTCTGTATTGGTATATAACCTCGCAAAGCTTCAGTTCCATTTTCGGGCGCTCTACATTCCATGTAGAGAGCACAACCTGAGGGAGCCTGATTAACCTTAAGAATGAAAGTGCTATGTGATACAGAATAATCTAAAGATTAAGTCTATGGCGCTGTTCGAAATGACTCGGCTTTGGATTCCTGACTTTCCGTCAGTATATTTATGTGAAAATAAATCTTAGCTTTAAGCTTAACTGACAAAACCGATAGCAAAAGTGAAGTAGTTCAAAGACGGTAACTTTTGAGTATTCCGATCCATGTAAGTTTTTCAATCTGAATCGAAAACCTGTGCTCTAACAAAAATCATAATTGTTGGTGGGTGAGAGGTCATGGAAAACGGGGCTTGGGAACTGACCGCCATAATATGGCGCCCTATCATACTAGGCACATTTGGTCGAACCGACTGTATGTATCACTAAAATCCAGTTCTATAAAGTCGCATGTATGTGGCGAACGGAGGCACTCATGGTAATGTCATAGAACGCACAGAAACTGGTTGCATCGTCCTAGGTGCTAAACATCTGCTGCACGGAGGCTTGTTTTGTACCCATTTCGTGTTGCGTAACTTTTTGTATAGAGACTTCTACAGTCCAAGTAATGTAACCTTCCCAAACAAACATATCTCACCACACATATTCAATTACTCTGTAGATTTACTGTATTTCTGCTTTGGATTGAGAAGCAAACCCTCAAACATTCAAATATCCCATGCAGAGCATTTACTGTTCATTCGTCCGACTGGATTTGTGAGCTCCGCTTGACTTTTGCTTCGGCTGCTTACTCGGGTCCGTCTTTTGAACGACATGTTTAGTTCGCTACGTCGGTCGGATTGGCGTGCTAGCTGAGCGCAACCCTGTAGCGTTACTTCAGTCTGCGGAGGGTGTATTGCTCGCTCAGTTACTTTAACGCACTCGCCCAATTCTTCTTCATCAGGTGGCACGAGGTCGGCGGAATATCTTGCGCTGATTGTAACTCACCCCTAGGGGTTAATCGGCGCTTGATTTCTCAAACAGTCTATTGTGTGTGGTAATGAAACAGATGACACTGAAGGATATTCCAAGTAGGACTTCTTTCAGAAGTTTATATTTGGACCGATTGCACGGAATACTTTGAACTTCGTCAGAAGCTATTGAATTCCGGTAAATGTGCTCAGCGATACATACCAATCTATTGGACGTTATTGTGGGTGAGCTGGTGTTTGATTTCGCTCGCCGCGTTACTCTTGCCTGCGAAACAGTTCCCCGGCTATTTGTGAAAGTACCTGGTAAAAAGGCCCGCCAATCGGATTACAGCAGTTTTCCACTGCTGATTCGGTCCGATTTAAATCCTTATTAGTCAGATTTCTTCATAGCTTAGGAGATAAAGCCATTGAAATTGGGAAGAGGATGAGCTTGCTGGTTTACAGAAGTCAAAATCACTCTACCAAATTAACCACCGGGGTGAACAAGAATCGAACGTTCGGGTTTTTTAAAAGCAATCCACAGTTAACTAGGACTGTTTTGAATATTTACTTTAGGCAGTGATGTCTACGAGAAAAATCCTAAGTGACATCAGTCGGTCTGTCAGAGTGCTTCATTACTTGAAAAGCGCCTAGTTCTTTTGTTAACCAGTGATTTGGCCTATCGATAATTTTTCGAAGCTCATGTTGCACAATTCGTGATCCATTTGTTCTCGATCCTGATCACCATACCCCAATCCGATGGTTGATATCTGGTTGCTTTTCGAGTGATGATAAGCCGATTGGCAGTGAATTCAACTGGCACGCTTGCCTTATCCATCGTAAGCCAAAAATTGCAATCGCTAAAACATTTATGTTTCCGTTTGTCGTTAAAATGGCGGATGACAGACACAAAAATTTCAGCTCGTCACAAGCGCATTTGCTTTCCATTAGATTTGCCGTAAAAGTGCTGTCAATTTTCGGTGGGTGAAGCAATCCAATAAATAAGAGTGCGGTTTTCTGAAATTTAAAGTTACTAGAACTGGGAGTTCATCACTACACAGAGCTTCCATGTGGTGACTTCCTTCTTGGTTCGAAAAGCTTCGAGGTCTTGGTCATTTTGGTTGCGAACTCACTTCAGGTTGCCTTTGTCTATTTTTGTGCGTACTCATGAGTAGTTGATAGTTTACCAACGACATTTGTCCGCTTTCGCTTGGTCAACCATTCATTCGGAGTTGGAATCTGACACAATTAACAGTTAACAATTACTGAAATGCTGGACGTCTGCGCATGGTTTGCAAACCGCGGATAGTTTGCACAGAACTGAGTACATGGCTGCTTGCAGGCCGCCTATATATGTATATATAATAATTACTATAAGTTGGTGCAACTAGGCATTGGTAACAGGCCACTCAGGAGGAATGGACGTGTTTGTTGTCAGGATCGAGTAGGTGCTAATTTCCGATAAGAGGTGCCTTCTGGAGGAGACTCGGAATCCTTCTTTTTTGAACCTCCTTACTGTGTGCACATATAGATGTGTGCGCAAACGTGTCTAGCAGGTCAGATTTGGTTGTTGGACTAAGTAAACAACCAGGCAGTGCAAGTAAATTGGATGCAGTAATCCTTCAAGAAAGATCCCACCGAAAAGAGCACTTGCCTAAATATATTACAACAGAGCTTACGCGACTCGATGCTTGATCCTGCCGAATAGGGCCGCTCAGTACACTAGATGCCTCTCCGCAAATTATATTCTCTGGTGACTTGGTGTAGTTGCCTCTTATATTGTCCCAATCAAAATCTCGGCGTATATGTATTTATGTTTGCATATGAAATTCCTCTCACCATATTGAAACTGGGTAGGCGATAAAGGTACCTCCTGAACTGGCTGATTTACAGTAACATGGAGACGTCTGACAAAATACACTTCGGGTGCTCAGTTTATGAGGAGCCGCTACTGTTAGAGGTCAAGCCGAGCTTGAATTTACGAGTTAGTGGATACAAAGAACGACTACCAGTCTCTACAATGTGTCGAAATCCTCCCTCTACATAAATGAGCCGTAATGTGTAATCGATGTTAAAACTATTGGTCTTTTATGAGGACTTGACAGCTTTGTACTAGTTAAAAGGCCTAACTGAAGACCTAACTGGGTCTTCACTCGTTTTTGTCTTTTTACGGCTGTTTGCATTCTTTGGATCGATACACTTAGATAACATCAATCAGGACTTTATCAGAATTCCAAGAAAATCGCTTATCAGATCAATAGTTCTGACTGAAATCCATGGTGGTGTAGCGTGCCGCAGTCGCTTGTCTACTAACGATAATATGAATAGAATGTAGACAGTCTGTTTGTTTTTGTTTCCCCTCAGGTGGTGAACTGCATTCGTGCAAAGAACCCCCTTACTTGAAAATGCATAAGACTTGATGCGAAGTGCACAAACACAGAATTTGAAGAGTCATTATATCTAGCGGTTTATTTACTGTGAAAGAGTGACTTCGCGCATGATTAGACTGTCTAATAAAAAGCTGAAGAGAAACAATATCTGTGGTGCAGGGGAATGTGCGTTGACTCTCGAACTCGCCGGCCAAGCCTCAAGGAGAAAACATCGGGTATCCATTGGGCTAATGGCTCATGGGACTTTATGATTCAAAAGCGATGTATAAGCTGTTGTTGTTACTAGGACTATTACTGAGTGACAGTAAAATCCACTTCAAGCTGCATAAAACTTATCAAGTTGATATTAGCAAGATAGTATTGAGTCTCCGCGGCCTTCGTGCTAGTTTAGCTTTGTGGCGGCTGGTAGCTTGTAAGTCACAATACGGTTTAGGGGTAATATTGTTGTAGAATTGAATCAAGTGGCGAGCGCTAACTCATTGTCGATCCCGTGCTACGTGTTCGAATATTACATCACATCTTCCCCGTTAGATGGTTTTTGTCCTTGTTCGAGTGTGACATGCATTCCCAGTTCAAAATCGCAGCAACTGATGACTCCATACACAACTTTGTTGCACTTTGTTGTTCTATTGCATATCTCATTTGTAGAAACGCGTGGCCCTATACATGTGTTAGTAACGCAAAACACCTTGAAAATACCCACAAACAACTGCATGGTTGATGAGCAAGTGTTGTTGACCCAAGAGAGGCAAACTAACTTGGAAATTTTTATATCCTCTATGAGGTATTGCATGACAGTAACACATTTACATACGCTTAGGAGTGATTATTTTGCTTTGAGTATGATTTTGAATGGCTCCTTGTGAACCAGTTCACGGGGACATCCATTGGCTTGTTGCATCTCCAGTCGTATCGATCGCAGATCTGAAAAGCTTCTTCATGCACCTCATGGCGAGAAAGCCCGTTTCTATTACCCACTTTCATAGGTGATCGTTTTTCCTGCCCTAATATGGAGTACAAATAATGGCATACATCCTAGGGGGGGGGAGTCCTCTTTTCAAGCTTTTCCAACGACCATGGTAATTGACAGACGGTAATACGAATTTCATAGAAGTTATTCTACTACTCCTTTCGATGCTATTAATTATCGACTCACCGACCCATCGTACCGTTTCGTATCTGTATGAATAAATCTTACCAAAGCAACTTTCTCCGCGGAGCCCTAGCGGATGCGTATTTCATGCGATTGAGTTCATCAAGTGTTTTTAGACAGATTCGTTTACATTTCATCTCTAGACCTGCACAGTGCGAGTGAAGCCAGTACAAATGCACCAAGATAACAGAAAAATGC